AGTGGAGGTACACCTAAGCATTGGGTAACTATGAAAGAGATAGCATCACTGGAGATACCGATTGAGCCGGTCTCTGCGTGTATTGGGGGGGTGGGACAAAGGAGCTCTCTGAGGCTGGTTGAGCGGGACTGGGGGCTCTACAGTGAAACTGTATAATAAGAACTAACCCAAACAGCAATAGGCAAGGCATATTGACATGGGAGAGAGGCATAACGCAATCACAGGTGTTATTCGAGAGAGCTAAGACAACAACTGGTAATGGCGACGAAGGCTAAACAGATGAACAGGATGGGGTACCGTGTAAAGGAACAGTCCAGCAGGCATTAGCCTCAGTGATCATAAGGTCCAGTGAACAGCAATAAGTAAGTCCAGGAGCAGTTCGTAGGCTGCTACAGCACAGGCGAGCAGGAGGCACGGCTGTTGATTGCGCGTGCTAGCGGGCCGGGGCTAGCAGATGGATCATCGTGGTCGTCGCAATGGTAAGCCTGTTGAAACCACATCAGACGATTACGTCGGCAGACCAGTCGTGATGGATCGGCGGGGCTCCGTGTCGACACTAGGAGGTCCCGTCCGGTTGACAGAGAGGTAGATAGCCGGGAGATGGGCCTGTCTCGAGGCTAGCTCAAGGCTAACTGGTACGTCGGGACAGTGGTGATTAGCCAACAACAGCCATTCGGTTTGCAGCTAGCTAGTTGCGATGGTCCGGTGTTAAGGTCCAGTGATTCAGTGATTCCGGCAGAACATCCGATATGCTCTGGGTCGATAGCACGCTGTGCAGACTGGCCGATAATTGTCCAGGCTAGAGCTGGCTGGTAGGTAGTGCAGGCCACCGACAGTGGTGAAGACTGCTAACGGTGGCTAATAGCAAGTAGCTAGTTAGCTGGCTAGCTGGCTAGTTTCAGCCGTAGGTCTTGATAAAAATAAATAAATAATAGAATCCTTTCCACATTGGGTGAGGTGGGTTGAAGGAAAGTATATTTAGTTAAAGGATGGAAAGTGAGATAGAGAAATATATACGAAAAAAATACACAAAGACTAAAAAAGAGGCTATTTACACGAGGACACAACACAACCACACTACTACGCCATCTGGATAACCATTATTTAAACCATGTAGATGTATTAAACCATGTAGATGTATTAAACCATGTAGATGTATTAAACCATGTAGATGTATTAGACCATGTAGATGTATAACCATGTAGATGTATTAAACCATGTAGATGTATTAAACCATGTAGATGTATTAAACCATGTAGATGTATTAACCATGTAGATTTATTAAACCATGTTAGATGTATTAAACCATTGTAGAGGATTAAACCATGTAGATGTATTAAACCCATGTAGATGTATTAAACCATGTAGATGTTTAAACCATGTAGATGTATAAACCATGTAGTGTATTAAACCATTTTGATGTATTAAACCATGTAGATGTATAACCATGTAGATGTTTTCATTTGTATTAACCATGTAGATGTATAACCAGTAGATGTATTAAACCATGTAGATGTATAAACATGTAGATGTATTAAACCATGTAGATGTATTAAACCATGTAGATGTATTAAACCATGTAGATGTTTTAACCATGTAGATGTATTAACCATGTAGTGTATAACCATGTATGATGTTTAAACCATGTAGATGTATTAAAACCATGTAGATGTATGTAACCATGAGATGTATTAAACCATGTAGATGTATTAAACCATGTAGATGTATAAACCAATGTAGATGTATTAAACCATGTAGATGTATTAAACCATGTAGATGTATAACCATGTAGATGTATTAAACCATGTAGATGTATTAAACCATGTAGATGTATTAAACCATGTAGATGTATTAAACCATGCACATTATACACCAAATTGTCTTTATGGTCTCTACTGGCCAAAATGCTATAGAAAAGACACTAGTAATGCTTGAATTGGCCTGCTAGCATTGTTCTTTAGACCATGTTACAATTATATCTGAAAACAGCAGCTTCCACGGCCCCACAGCAAAGTCGATACCGCAGTCAGATTTCAAAACTTTTAAAACCATGACCAGAGAGAGATTGATGTCAATGGTATTGGCTGTAGTGAAAGGCCAATTTTTAGTGAAAGCCCAGTTTTTAGTGAAAGGCCTTGCTGCAGCTGGAGACCATAGTTGATGTTGTGGATGAGCAACCTGGTCTCATGAGCATTTTGTATTATTCTGTATGTAAATCCGAGACACTCCATTTAGTATGATATGTTACGTTTCATATGGTATGTATTCATTTCTAGTTCTCCATCACCTAGTTTGTATGATATGTTACGAATTACAAGTCGTATTATATGTCACGAATCTGCAACATGTACAATATGTTACAAATTTTGCAAAACGTATGATATGTTATGAAATGAATTCTAGCTAGGTGGCTAACGTTAGCTAGCTCGCTAACGTTGGCTAGGCTAGGGGTTAGAGTTAGGGGTTAAGGTTACGTTTTAGGAGTTAAAGGGTTAGCTAAAAGTAGTAAGTAGTTGAAAAGTTGCTAATTAGCTAAAATGCTCAAGTTGTCCGTGATGAGATTCGAACTCGCAAACCTTTAGGTTGCTAGACGTTCGCGTTATACGTCCACCCCGACCAACCACCCTACTTTTGTTTTTGCCTTAAGTAACCATCTGTCTTATGTAACCGTACCAAACGTAACACATCGTACCAATTTGAGGTGGCCCAGATTTACGTTTACTATCTTACGTCTAGTCTATGAGACCAGGCTGAGAGTGCTGACCTTTCAGGGGTCATTGTAGAACAGGAGATGGATGTGGTCAGGTGTTTTTGTCATTGTGTCCTCTAACCATGGGAGGTCAGAGTTAGGGTACTGATAACCCTGTTTTTACCCCCTTTATCACCGCTTTATGATAAACGGCCAAAGTCATAGCAACGTCATCCACGATATACTATTTAATGAATACCGTACAGTCATTGACTGGTGGGACATCCATTGTGGTGATGAGTGAGAATTACTGTTGTGTTCTGTTTTGACTGTGTCGGAACCTTATATTCCCAAGGTCATATGTGACATTTTGGTCCAAAAAATGAGTTGTTCACATAGAGTTGCTTTTTAAGTGGTCCTTTTACATGTGAGAATATATTTTTTTTAAAGTCCATTTACGATAAAGAAAAAGAAAAACATCCGAAAGTTCTATCTGCGCAAACACCTTTTAACTTGGTGCTAGCTATCTGCAATCCAACCAGACAATGCTGGGTTGTCAATCAAAAATAACTGTATGTAAGGTGATATACTTACTGAGTAATGAAAGAGGAAGACCTCACAAAACAGTTCTGACATCTTGGACTCAATATCTCAAAACTATACATTGTTCAGACAGAACCTTATAAGTCCCAAGTCTTTGATTATTCATATCACAGGTCCTGGTCCTCTTTTTCAATTGCTTAAATATTTTTTCACCACTTTTTCGGGAAGAATGGCCATGACGTTAGCTCTTTATGGTAAAAGCAAATAAATACAGGTTTAAGGCCCTTAGGAGAGGCATTGCTGTTTTGGTCTTGTTTTTATATCAATATGAAAACCTCCATGGAAGGAGTATTTTACTAAAATTTAAATCTTACCACATTTTATTGATAACTAGCAAGTAGTTTACTTACTTTGGGGGGTCAGAGACCAAAAATATACATCAGTTTACTCATCCAGAGCAAAGCTTTAGCAATGTTGCTAGTTATCCATAGCATATAGTGTATTTGTCATTTTAGGGAACTATCGCTTTAATAAATGGTACCTTTAAAAGGTCAGGACCTTAATGAGTTATGAAAGAAGAATTCACTACAAAACAGTTCTGAAATCTGGGATGTGAAAACGTTGACGCTCAATATCTCAGAACTATGCTTTGCCCAGGTAGAACCTCTATAGTCCCAAAAGGTCTCCGTGTCTATTGTCGGATGTGTCCCTTGCTTAAAACGTACCTGACCGATTAAAGGGCCGTTGAAGTTCCCCTCACAGCGGTAGCTAAATTTACCTCAGAGAGAGAGAGAGAGCGGCGCTAAATTTACCTCAGAGAGAGAGAGAGAGCGGCGCTAATTTTACCTCAGAGAGAGAGAGAGAGAGAGCGGCGCTAATTTTAACCTCAGAGAGACGAGACGGCGCTTATTACCTCAGAGAGAGAGAGAGAGCGGCGCTAATTTTACCTCAGAGAGAGAGAGAGCGGCGCTAATTTTACCTCAGAGAGAGAGAGAGCGGCGCTAATTTACCTCAGGGAGAGAGAGAGAGAGCGGCGCTAAATTTACCTCAGAGAGAGAGAGAGCGGCGCTAATTTTACCTCAGAGAGAGAGAGAGAGCGGCGCTAATTTTACCTCAGAGAGAGAGAGAGAGCGGCGCTAATTTTACCTCAGAGAGAGAGAGAGAGCGGCGCTAATTTTACCTCAGCGAGAGAGAGCGGCGCTAATTTTACCTCAGAGAGAGAGAGAGCGGTGCTAATTTTACCTCAGAGAGAGAGAGAGAGCGGCGCTAATTTTACCTCAGCGAGAGAGAGCGGCGCTAATTTTACCTCAGAGAGAGAGAGAGCGGCGCAAATTTTACCTCAGAGAGAGAGAGAGCGGCCTGCTGCTGCAGTGGAGATGTGCTGAGACCGCTGTTTACGGAGCTCCATGGAGACAATGGAATAGGGTTCAAAGGGACTGAATGCCTTCTGCTGAGGCAGGCTGTCCACTGACCACTCTTTACACCACCCCTTTGTGTGGCCACACAGTAATGGAACTGCAATGACCAATCCCAAGGAACGTTGGGGCATTGTTCAGGGACCAATGGGAAATGCAACAAATAGACAACCTTTATGTGTGTGTGAGAGAGTGTGTGTGTAATGTGTGTGTGTGTCTGCGTGTGAGCGCATGTGTGTCAGTGTGTGTGTGTGTGTGTGTGTGTGTGTGGTGTGTGTGTGTGTGTGTGTGCATGCTAATGCAGGTGAATGCATGTTGAGTCTTTTTCGCCCGGCATGCCTTTAGAGTCTACTCTATGACCAAGAGGGAGGGGGACGTCGTACAGAGACACAGCCAATCAGAGGTTAGCCTGTTAGATTTATGCCAAGGTTTTTTAGGCTTGTAATACTTCAGTGGAAGTGAAAAAAACCCAGTTTTAAAAAATCCAAAATGCCCTATACACCGTCTGGCTTTTTCTGCGACCGGTTGATCCGGGAGAGAGAGAGAAGAGACGGAGAAGGTTCCCTCAGCAAGCCCCTACGCTTCAGCGGACAGGACTTTGCCACGCTGAAACAAGAGTGCCTCACCAAGAAGTGCCTGTTTGAGGATGACACCTTCCCTGCCACCGTGGAGTCCCTGGGGTACAAAGAGCTGGGACACAAGTCCAACAAGGTCAAGAACATCGTCTGGAAGAGACCCAAGGTAGGAGGGGGGGAACAGAGGGGACATGCAGGGGAAAAGAGGATGACCTTAATAAAGAGGGGAAGGGACGGGCACGCATGAGGGATGATATCTACAATACCAAGTCAACTGCAGCGACGTTTCAGGATGTTTTAAACGTTTCAGGATGTTTTAAACGTTTCAGGATGTTTTAAACAGGATTCACGATGGCAAAACTAATATTTCTCACAGATTTTGAGGAATCTTATCTGGATCTAAATGTTCAGCATTATGGGCTGGAATAACTGTTGATATGGCTGCTTGAAACATGGATGTGTCAGAATGGTTAGAAATGGTTATGAATCATACCGTTAAAAGAATGGTTATGAAATGGTTATGAATCATATCGTTAAAGAATGGTTATGAAACATATTGTTAAAGAATGGTTAGAATTGGTTATGAATCATATCGTTAAAGAATGGTTAGAAATGGTTATGAATCATATCGTTAAAGAATGGTTAGAAATGGTTATGAATCATATCGTTAAAGAATGGTTAGAAATGGTTATGAATCATATCGTTAAAGAATGGTTAGAAATGGTTATGAATCATATCGTTAAAGAATGTTTATGAAACATATCGTTAAAGAATGGTTAGAAATTGTTATGAATCATATCGTTAAAGAATGGTTAGAAATGGTTATGAATCATATCGTTAAAGAATGGTTAGAAATGGTTATGAATCATATCGGTAAAGAATGGTTAGAAATGGTTATGAAACATATGGTTAAAGTAATACAGATGGAAATAGGCCCGAAATCTCTGAAAATGATTGTGTAGCTTATTGACTGGATGTGAATTTACTTTGAGGTGATTTGCATGGGTTACATCGGTTTTTGGTTAGAAAAAGCTACATTTAGCAACATTTAAAACATTATGTGACTTTGGCTGGTTAAACTAAACTAAACAAAGGATTACTGCCTCTTCTTCTTCTTGGTTGTTTGTTTTTATTTCAGTGTTAGGAAACAAATAATCTATTTTGTAATTCCAAAATGGACCTGGGGCTTTTCCCACCCGGACAAATATGTATAAATACATTTTTCAATATAGAGACCCGTTCCGAACGGATCCAAGGACGACCAGTTCCATATAGACGTGGTCGGAGTGAGGGAAGCAGCAGAAAAGTCAATTTGTAAGATATTTTATTAACCAGACCTACTGTGAGCGAGTGAAACTGGACCAAGGAGGAGGGAGGGAGGGAGGGAGCAACCAACCGAGCCGATTTGCGCTAGTAGACTAACGTCTAGCTTGTCATAGCTAGGTTATTTATCATCCAATATGATTACTACTACCTGTCTTGACTGCATCAAACCGAGAGAAGCTAGTTGGCTAAGATAACTAGCTAAATTAGCTAGCTAAGTTAGCTAGCCAGCTAGCTAGGCTAATTGAGTCTGCATGCGCTTTCTTCCTGTCATACAGTTACAAATAACACCTCCATTCAGATAACTAAATAGCAGCCTACCTGTTGGCTCTTGTTCGTTGTAGCATATACTTCTCACTTAACTTTTAATTCCATAATTGTAATTCAATTTGAGATAATCTCCTAATTTGCATTGCCACACGCTCTATGACTGTAATGGCGCTTTGATGATTTGTGATTGTCCGACAACAACATCAAGCTTACAGGCGCCACTCTGCATAGGCTATTCTCGTTGAGCGGTGGAGAACATACTATTCACTTTTTAGCGACAATTCTCTGTCCATCGCAGTTGTAATCCACTGTGAAGCCAAATTTGTTCCCAAACTGGAGATTTAAACAATGATGGATGATCCTGCAGTGATGGTTTATCGATCCCACCATTAGCCATCTACAGAGTTCCCAGCTGCGCCTCACAAAAAGGATAGTTTGAAATTCCGCCAGTTAAGATGATCATTTTGATTACAACATGCGCATAGGCTGTAGATGGCACAACGTATTCATTCGGGTTCACAATGCGGACCGAACAAGGTCCCCATACCGCCCCTGATTAGAAGGAGAGGATGAAAAACAGAGGTGTTTCGGCCCTCCAGGACCGGAATTGAAGAACCCTGGCATATTGTTTATGTCAGTAATGACAGTGTTGCATCACCTTGTCCGTTTTGGTGTTATAATGGTTCCCTTACAGCAGTGAACTACACTGAACAAAAAAAATAAACGCAACATGTAAAGTGTTGGTCGCATGTTTCATGTGCTGAAATAAAAAGATCCCAGAAATGTTCCATACGCACATAAAAAGGATATTCCTCTCCAATTTTGTGCACAAATTTGTTTACATCCCTGTTAGTGAGCATTTCTCCTTTGCCAAGATAATCCATTCACCTGACAGGTGTGGCATATCAAGAAGCTGATTAAACTTGTTGAGAATGAGAACTTGTTCTCAACTGGCTTACCTGGTTAAATAAAGGTGAAATAAAATTAAAATAAAAAAACAGCGTGATCATTACACAGGTGCACCTTGTGCTGGGGACAATAAAAGGCCACTCTAAAATGTGCAGTTTTGTCACACACCACAACGCCACAGATGTCTCAAGTTTTGAGGGAGTGTGCAATTGGCATGCTGACTGCAGGAATGTCCACCAGAGCCGTGGCCAGAGAATTTAATGTTAATTTCTCTACCATAAGCCACCTCCAACGTCGTTTTAGAGGATTTGGCAGTATGTCCAACTGACCTCACAACCACCACGCCAGCCCAGGATCTCCACATCCGGCTTCTTCACCTGCGGGATTGTCTGAGACCAGCCACCCGGAGAGCTGATAAACCTGAGGAGTATTTCTGTCTGTAATAAAGCCCTTTTGTGGGGGGAAAACTCATTCTGATTCATTCTAATTCTTCTCCCACCCATGGCTACGCCCCCTGCCCAGTCATGTGAAATCCATAGATTAGGGCCTAATGAATTTATTTCAATTGACTGATTTCTTTATATGAACTGTAACTCAGTAAAATCTTTTAAATTGTTGTATGTTGCGTTTATATTTTTGTTCAGTATAGTTTATTTCACAGTTAGATCACAGTTAGCTACTCCATTTGTTTCTACGTGAGTATTGACATAATGTGTTCCTTCTATTTCCAAACAACGACATCAACTCCATAATGTTGCTGTTACATTGTTATTCACTGTAATGGTTCACTATTTCACAACAGTGAACTAGTTGAGAATACATGCATTCTGTCAGCCAATCCATGTGTTTCTGTGTCTTCAGGAGATCTCTGAGAACCCTCAGTTCATTGTGGGCGGAGCCAGCAGGACAGACATTTGCCAGGGAGACCTTGGTAAATAATAACTACACTGACCCCAACACAACACCAACACAACACGAACACGGACCCCAACACAACACTACACTGACCCCAACACAACACTACACTGACCCCAACACAACACTACACTGACCCCAAACAAACACTACCCTGACCCCAACACAACACTAACACTGACCCCAACACAACCTACACTGACACCCACACAACACTACAACTGACAACCCAACACAACACGTAACTACACTGACCCCACACAACACAACACAACACACACTGACACCAACTAACACTACACTGACACAACACAAACTACAACTGACACAACACAACACTACACTTGCCCCAACCAACCTACTACAACACGACCCCAACCAACACTACACTGACCCCCACAACACTACCTGACCCCAATCACCAACACACACCTGACACCAACACAACACTACACGACACCAACCCAACACTACAACACTAACTACCCAACCCAAACACTACCTGCCCCCAAACCCCAACACTACACTGACCCCAACACAACACTACACACACTGACCCCAACCCCAACACTACACTGACCCCAACACAACACTTAAAACTACCCCAACACAACACTACACTGACCCAACACACACTCCTGACCCAACACAACCTACCTGCCCCAACAACACAACCAACCTACAATGCCCCCCCAACAAAACCACCAACAAAACCCTACACTGACCCCAACACAACACTACACTGCCCCCAACACACCCCAAACACAACACTACACTGACACCACCACAAACACTACCCTGACCCCAACACAACACTACACTCCCACCAACCAACACTACCCCTACACTGACCCCAACACAACACTACACTGACCCCAACACAAACACTACACTACCTACCCCAACACAACCTACACTGACCCCAACACAACCCCTACAATGACCCCAACACAACACTACATTTCCCACCAACACACTACACGACACACACAACACTACACTGACCCACACACACTACACTGACCCAACACAACACTACACTGACCCCAACACAACACTACACTGACCCCAACACAACACTACACTGACACCAACACAACAACTACACTACACTGACCACAACACAACACTACACTGACCCAACACAACACTACACTGACCCCAACACAACACTACAATGACCCCAACACAACACCAACACAACACTACACTGACCCCAACACAACACTACACTGACCCCAACACAACACTACACTGACCCCAACACAACACTACACTGACCCCAACACAACACTACAATGACCCCAACACAATACAACAATGACCCCAACATGGTTATCTGTTCTCTTGCTAGTTTGTTGTTAACTTTGGACAATTGAGTTGAGTGTTTTGAATATTTTTTGGGGGGGACAGGTCCCCCTCATCCTCTGTTATTGCTACACTTATGGATGCTTTTCCAGTGGCCTCTCTATATTGTCCTGGCTCTATGGAAAGGATTCCAGCTAGCAGCACTTCTCATTGTTGAGCTGTTCGTCCATCCAGGGGGACAAAGGTTCATGCAGGCTGGGACCAAAAATATTCTAAATGCTCAAAACTGACATTGTTCAACAGTTAACTCCCTGACTGGGAACAGCCTACACACAGGTGTGGAGTGACAACCAGAAAACACTGAGGTCAGGAGTGAGAGAGGGAGATTTTTCCCTCAACAACACAAAGATATCAGAGGAAATATTGCATTAGTATTATTCAGATATCAAGTCCCATCTGGAGACAACCAAGGGGATGATGGCCCACTACTCAGTAACCAAACAATAAAGACAAAATAACAACAACAACAATATCTCGTCCATCAACTCCAATTAATCATAATGGCTTCACAGAACAATGATTCTACATGTTGTGTACATTTTACCAGTATCCTGGACTGTGTTCATTGTGTGTAAGTGCGTGATGATGATGATGATGTGTGTGTTGCTTGGTGTGTTCCTTGGTGTGTGTGTGTGTGTGTGTGTGTGTGTGTGTGTGTGTATGTGTGTGTGTGTGTGTGTGTGTATGTGTGTGTGTGTGTGTGTAGGTGACTGCTGGCTGAAAATATTGTATCAGTATTTTTAGATTCACAGTGTTGTTATAGATCTACAAATGCACGACTATGTAATTGGTGTGTGTCTCACTGTGTGTTTCCTAGGTGACTGTTTGTTATTGGTGTGTGTCTCACTGTGTGTTTCCTAGGTGACTGTTTGTTATTGGTGTGTGTCTCACTGTGTGTTTCCTAGGTGACTGTTTGTTATTGGTGTGTGTCTCACTGTGTGTTTCCTAGGTGACTGTTTGTTATTGGTGTGTGTCTCACTGTGTGTTTCCTAGGTGACTGTTTGTTATTGGTGTGTGTCTCACTGTGTGTTTCCTAGGTGACTGTTTGTTATTGGTGTGTGTCTCACTGTGTGTTTCCTAGGTGACTGTTTGTTATTGGTGTGTGTCTCACTGTGTGTTTCCTAGGTGGACTGTTGTTATTGGTGTGTGGTCTCACGGTGGGTTTCCCTAGGTGACTGCTGGCTTGCTATTGGCATGTCTCACTGTGTGTTTCCTAGGTGACTGGCTGGCTGATTGGCTGCATAGCCTGTCTGAACTTGTGTGTTTCCTGTGACTGCTTGGCTGCTGCTGCTATAGCCTGTCTGACTGTTGTAGTTTCCTAGGTGACTGCTGGCTGGCTGGCTGTTATAGCCTGTCCTGACTGTGTGTTTCCTAGGTGACTGCTGGGCTGCTGGCTGCTATAGCCTGTCTGACTGTGTGTTCCTAGGTGACTGCTGGCTGCTGCTGTATAGCCTGTCTGACTGTGTGTTTTCCTAGTGACTGCCTGGCTGCTATAGCCTGTCTGACTGTGTGTTTCCTAGGTGACTGCTGGCTTGCTATAGCCTGTCTGACTGTGTGTTTCCTAGGTGACTGCTGGCTGCTGGCTGCTATAGCCTGTCTGACTGTGTGTTTCCTAGGTGACTGCTGGCTGCTGGCTGCTATAGCCTGTCTGACTGTGTGTTTCCTAGGTGACTGCTGGCTGCTATAGCCTGTCTGACTGTGTGTTTCCTAGGTGACTGCTGGCTGCTGGCTGCTATAGCCTGTCTGACTGTGTGTTTCCTAGGTGACTGCTGGCTGCTGGCTGCTATAGCCTGTCTGACTGTGTGTTTCCTAGGTGACTGCTGGCTTGGCTGCTATAGCCTGTCTGACTGTGTGTTTCCTAGGTGACTGCTGGCTGCTATAGCCTGTCTGACTGTGTGTTTCCTAGGTGACTGCTGGCTGTGCTATAGCCTGTCTGACTGTGTGTTTCCTAGGTGACTGCTGGCTGCTGTTATAGCCTGTCTGACTGTGTGTTTCCTAGGTGACTGCTTGGCTGCTATAGCCTGTCTGACTGTGTGTGTTTCCTAGGTGACTGGGCTGCTGGCTGCTATAGCCTGTCTGACTGTGTGTTTCCTAGGTGACTGCTGGCTGCTGGCTGTTATAGCCTGTCTGACTGTGTGTTTCCTAGGTGACTGCTGGCTGTTATAGCCTGTCTGACTGTGTGTTTCCTAGGTGACTGCTGGCTGCTGGCTGCTATAGCCTGTCTGACTGTGTGTTTCCTAGGTGACTGCTGGCTGCTGGCTGCTATAGCCTGTCTGACTGTGTGTTTCCTAGGTGACTGCTGGCTGCTATAGCCTGTCTGACTGTGTGTTTCCTAGGTGACTGCTGGCTGTTATAGCCTGTCTGACTGTGTGTTTCCTAGGTGACTGCTGGCTGCTGGCTGCTATAGCCTGTCTGACCCTGAATGAGAAGCTTCTCTACCGTGTCGTTCCTCAGGAACAGAGCTACTCCGAGGGATATGGAGGAATCTTCCACTTCCAGGTCAGAACCCACCAATCAAAACAACCCTAATTATTAGACAACTATAAACAATAACACATGTTACATTGACTAATGTCTATTTCTATGTTGTATTGTAATCAGGGAAGGGCTCAATTCCATTTCAAGTCAGTGAGTTCAGGAAGTACACTGACATTTGAAACTGAAATTGTCCTCAATGAATTTCCTCAAAAGTGGGATAGGAATTTCGGTTTACTTTCTGAATTGAACTGAAATCAACCCCCTACCCTGATTGCAATACATTATCAACTCCTGTCAAATGTCTTCAACCATGTCATTTCCTGCATGGGACATCTCTTCCTCCTCCAGTTCTGGCGCTATGGCGACTGGGTTGACGTTGTCATTGACGACCGCATCCCCACCTTCAACAACCAGCTGGTGTTCACCAAGTCTGCTGAGAGGAACGAGTTCTGGAGCGCCCTGCTGGAGAAGGCCTACGCCAAGTACGTACCCCTAACCCTAGCCCTAACCCTAACCCTACCCCTACCCCTAACCCTACCCCTAACCCCTAACCGAACCCTAACCCTAACCCTACCCCTACCCCTAACCCTACCCTAACCCATAACCCTACCCCTAACCCTAACCCTAACCTACCCCTAGCCCTAGCCCTACCCTAACCCTAACCCTAACCTACCCTAACCTAACCCTAACCTTGCCCTAGCCCTACCAACCCTACCCTAACTAACACTAGCCCTAGCCTACCCACCACTACCCTACCCTACCTACCCTACCCCAATAACCTACCCTAATAGCCTGCCTAGCCCTAACCACCCTAACCTAGCCTAGCCCATAACCTAGCCTACCGGGTCCCAGCCCTACCACCCTAACCCTACCCTAACCCACCCTACCCCCCCCTACCCTACCTACCCTAACAGCCAGCCCACCTCCTACCCCTACCCCAGCCCTAACCCACCCTACCCTACCCTCCCCTAGTGGACAGCAAAGTTTTCCATACGTCATTACACCTTTATTGAACATGGTCAATTACACTAGCATATAGGCGTTATCAAAACTTCACATAGGTGTGTTGATTGACTGCTGGGGGTCAAGGAGACCCACAGCTCCTCTAAAACCATTGACGTGCCGTTTTCAAGGGATTGTTAAATAAATGTTAACTATATGGTTGTGATGTCATCACCTCTTGAAGAGCATCGTCAGACCTAGACATTCCAGATCATTCCATCCAAAACAACTGTCCACATTTAGCTCTATCATCAGAGTTATACAGCAAGTAACTGCATGCTTTTCATGATCAGTAAACATCAATTGATCATGTCATTTCAGATACATAGAGTAGCCTTAAGATATCTCTCAATATTTGCCACCATTAATTGGATAACATCTTTTTACCCTCCTCAAGAGACATAATAAGCCCTGTACTCCCTCCACTTAACTGGCTAACTAGCTAATAACAGATCAAGTCAATATGGCTAGTGAACAAGCTAACGTTCAGGGGATAAACTAGATGACGACAGGAGTCCAACTGACAACTTTACCAGGTTGATGTCAAGCTCTTTCCAAAAGCCTAATGGCTGATGAAACAAGCTAAATTACGTTGTTTGCTTAGCTAGCTACATGCCAAATGGATAGGTACCTTCGCATATCTGAAATTACATGATCATTGATGTTTACTGATCATGATAACTCTGATGACAGAGCTAAATGTGGAATAATCAGAAACGTGTAGTTCTGATTAAATAGCTATAACATTTAAACACGGCACGTAGTTGTCAACGGTTTTAGCGGAGCTGGTGGTCTCCTTGCCCCCAAGCAGCCAAATCTAACACATTGTGACGTTTTATTGAAGACGACCTGTATGGACGTTTTGTTAATGTCTTTTTAGCATCCAGAAACCCTATAACAGCCACTATAAACAGGGTGGTTCGAGCCCTGAATGCTGATTGGCTGACAGCCGTGGTATATCAGACCGTAGACCACGGGTATGACAAACCATGTATTTGTACTGCTCTAATTACGTTGGTAACCAGTTTAATAATAAGTGTTTGTGGTATAGTGCGTAAGAACAGCTCTTAGCAATGGTATATTGGCCAAATACCACACCCCCTCGGGCCTTATTGCTTAAATATACAACATCTTTCCAATGACTACTCTACCCTGCTCTCCCTAATCGCTCCCCTAATCCTCACCTGAACCTCTCCCCACCACCTCATCCTGTCTCCCCCTCACCCTGACTCCCCCCAACCTCACTTCCCTGACTCCCCCCTGATCCTCTCCCCACCCCCTCATCCTGTCTCCCCCTCACCCTCTCTCCCATCCCTCACCCTGACTCCCCCCTGAACCTCTCCCCACCCCCCCACCCCCCCCTCATCCTGTCCTCCCCCTCACCCTCTCCTCCACCCTCACCCTGACTCCCCCCTACACCTCTCTCCCCCCCCTCATCCTGTCTCCCCCTCACCCTCTCCCCACCCTCACCCTGACTCCCCACCCTCCTCACCCTGCTCCCCCCTGACCCTTCTCCCCCCTCCCCCTCCCCCCCCACCCTTCCCCCCTCCCCTCCCCTTACCCCCTGTCCTCCCCCCTGACCCTCCCCACCCTCCCCCCCCCACCTTTACCCTGTCTCCCCCTGACCTCTCCCCACCCCCTTTACCCTGTCTCCCCCCTGACCCTCTCCCCCCCTGACCCTCCCCCCACCCTTTACCCTGTCTCCCCCCTGACCCTCTCCCCCACCCCTTTACCCTGTCTCCCCCCTGACCCTCTCCCCCCCCCCCTCACCCTGGTCTCCCCCCCTGACCCTCTCCCCCCCCCCCCCCTCACCCTGTCTCCCCCCCTGACCCTCTCCCCCCCCTGACATACCCCTAACCCTCTCTCACCCTGTCTCACACTCTGACCTACCCCCAACACTCACCCTGTCTCACCCTCCCATCCCCCAGGCTGCACGGTTCCTATGAGGCCCTGAAGGGCGGCAACACCACGGAGGCCATGGAAGACTTCACCGGGGGAGTGACAGAGTTCTATGAGATGAAGGAGGCGCCCAAGGAGCTGTACAAGATCATGAAGAAGGCCCTGGAGAGAGGCTCTATGATGGGCTGCTCTATCGACGTGAGTCTCTGACCTTAGGAGCGTGACCCCGACCTCCAACAGGTCTCACAAACCGTAATTGAAGAGACTCCCGTCAATAGAGCAGCCCATCAGGGAGCCTCTCTCTCTTCAGTTATTGATTCAGACCAGACCTAGAAGCCATTTCAGTCAAAACGTTCAGCTATGTATGGCCTGTCTGTGGAGGTCTTGCCCACAGTTAGTCCCGCCACCCGCAGTGCCGTGTCGGTGTGGATACAAATCCATCCCATTGCCTATTTCACACAAACCTTCTCCCGTCTTTCCTGCCTCCCCTACTCACTATCCATAGAAGCATGTAGAAATACAAGAGGAGTGGAAAACCGCCCCCCCCCCCCAAAAAAAAAAACATTAGAAAAAAAAAAAAAAAAATCCATAGGTTTAACAAAATGTATCGAGTGCTGGAACTCATCGATGATCAAGAGCAATTTAAAAACTATCCCCTTCCACAGGTTTAACCAACTGTATCCAATCAGTCCTGCTCCTCATGTCATCATTGACGATCCAGAAGCCATGTTGTGATTCCTGTCTTGTTGTTCATTCCATTCCCCAGTCCCTGGTTCCTGCTCGCTTCGAGACCCGTACCGTGACTGGCCTGGTGAAGGGCCACGCCTACTCTGTGACTGCCGTTGAGGAGGTGAGATACACCTATAGAAACATATACGTTCACTTTACGCCATAGATCGTGGGTTCGATTCCCGCAAGGGGGCTGCACATAAGTAAAATATATGCAGGCATGAGTGTAAGTCGCTTTGGATAAAAGCGTCTGCTAATGAAATATATTTATTTATCATCTTGTGATTGCTGTATATACACTACATTATTAGATAGACCATGAGATACACTACATTATTAGATAGACCATGAGATACACTACATTATTAGAAAGACCATGAGATACACTACATTATTAGATAGACCATGAGATACACTACATTATTAGATAGACCATGAGATACACTACATTATTAGATAGATAGACCATGAGATACACTACATATTAGGTAGACCATGATATACACTACATTATTAGAAAGACCATGAGATACACTACATTATTAGATAGACCATGAGATACACTACATTATTAGATAGATAGACCATGAGATGCACTACATTATTAGGTAGACCATGATATACACTACATTATTAGATAGGCCATGAGATACACTACATTATTAGATAGACCATGAGATACACTACATTATTAGAAAGACCATGAGATACACTACATTATTAGAAAGACCATGAGATACACTACATTATTAGATAGACCATGAGATACACTACATTATTAGATAGATAGACCATGAGATACACTACATTATTAGATAGACCATGAGATACACTACATTATTAGATAGACCATGAGATACACTACATTATTAGATAGATAGACCATGAGATACACTACATTATTAGATAGACCATGAGATACACTACATTATTAGATAGATAGACCATGAGATACACTACATTATTAGATAGACCATGAGATACACTACATTATTAGGTAGACCATGAGATACACTACATTATTAGATAGACCATGAGATACACTACATTATTAGATAGACCATGAGATACACTACATTATTAGGTAGACCATGAGATACACTACATTATTAGATAGATAGACCATGAGATACACTACATTATTAGATAGACCATGAGATACACTACATTATTAGAAAGACCATGAGATACACTACATTATTAGATAGACCATGAGATACACTACATTATTAGATAGATAGACCATGAGATGCACTACATTATTAGATAGACCATGAGATACACTACATTATTAGGTAGACCATGATATACACTACATTATTAGATAGGCCATGAGATACACTACATTATTAGATAGACCATGAGATACACTACATTATTAGAAAGACCATGAGATACACTACATTATTAGATAGACCATGAGATACACTACATTATTAGATAGACCATGAGATACACTACATTATTAGATAGACCATGAGATACACTACATTATTAGGTAGACCATGAGATACACTACATTATTAGATAGATAGACCATGAGATACACTACATTATTAGATAGACCATGAGATACACTACATTATTAGAAAGACCATGAGATACACTACATTATTAGATAGACCATGAGATACACTACATTATTAGGTAGACCATGAGATACACTACATTATTAGATAGATAGACCATGAGATACACTACATTATTAGATAGACCATGAGATACACTACATTATTAGATAGATAGACCATGAGATGCACTACATTATTAGATAGATAGACCATGAGATACACTACATTATTAGATAGACCATGAGATACACTACATTATTAGATAGACCATGAGATACACTACATTATTAGATAGATAGACCATGAGATACACTACATTATTAGATAGACCATGAGATACACTACATTATTAGATAGATAGACCATGAGATACACTACATTATTAGATAGATAGACCATGAGATGCACTACATTATTAGATAGATAGACCATGAGATACACTACATTATTAGATAGATAGACCATGAGATACACTACATTATTAGATAGATAGACCATGAGATGCACTACATTATTAGATAGACCATGAGATACACTACATTATTAGGTAGACCATGATATACACTACATTATTAGATAGGCCATAAGATACACTACATTATTAGATAGACCATGAGATACACTACATTATTAGGTAGACCATGAGATACACTACATTATTAGATAGACCATGAGATACACTACATTATTAGAAAGACCATGAGATACACTACATTATTAGATAGACCATGAGATACACTACATTATTAGAAAGACCATGAGATACACTACATTATTAGAAAGACCATGAGATACACTACATTATTAGATAGACCATGAGATACACTACATTATTAGATAGATAGACCATGAGATACACTACATTATTAGATAGACCATGAGATACACTACATTATTAGATAGACCATGAGATACACTACATTATTAGATAGATAGACCATGAGATGCACTACATTATTAGATAGACCATGAGATGCACTACATTATTAGATAGACCATGAGATACACTACATTATTAGATAGATAGACCATGAGATACACTACATTATTAGGTAGACCATGAGATACACTACATTATTAGGTAGACCATGAGATACACTACGTTATTAGATAGACCATGAGATACACTACATTATTAGAAAGATCATGAGATACACTACATTATTAGGTAGACCATGAGATACACTACATTATTAGATAGACCATGAGATACACTACATTATTAGATAGACCATGAGATACACTACATTATTAGATAGACCATGAGATACACTACATTATTAGGTAGACCATGAGATACACTACATTATTAGATAGATAGACCATGAGATACACTACATTATTAGAAAGACCATGAGATACACTACATTATTAGATAGACCATGAGATACACTACATTATTAGATAGACCATGAGATACACTACATTATTAGATAGATAGACCATGAGATACACTACATTATTAGATAGACCATGAGATACACTACATTATTAGATAGATAGACCATGATATACACTACATTATTAGATAGACCATGAGATACACTACATTATTAGATAGACCATGAGATACACTACATTATTAGGTAGACCATGAGATACAGAGCTGTGGTTAGATGACAGTAGCCATTTGAAAGCTGACTCAATGGGCCAGTGGTTGTTGCCGTTGTGATTGTTACATGGACCGGTGTGTGTGTGTGTTTCTCCTCAGTGTAAGCAGTCCCATCACAAGGAGTCTAAGGTGCGTTTGGTGCGCCTCAGGAACCCCTGGGGACAGGTGGAGTGGAACGGGCCCTGGAGCGACAAGTAAGAGACACCTGATTGGTTGATTCATTACTTAATTGATTGATTGATTACTTAATTGATGTTGTTCCCTCCCGTCCACAGCTCTGAGGAGTGATGATGTTGTTGATGTTGTTCCCTCCTGCCCACAGCTCTAAGGAGTGATGATGTTGTTGATGTTGTTCCCTCCTGTCCACAGCTCTGAGGAGTGATGATGTTGTTGATGTTGTTCCCTCCCGTCCACAGCTCTAAGGAGTGATGATGTTGTTGATGTTGTTCCCTCCTGCCCACAGCTCTAAGGAGTGATGATGTTGTTGATGTTGTTCCCCACTGCCCACAGCTCTAAGGAGTGATGATGTTGTTGATGTTGTTCCCTCCCGTCCACAGCTCTGAGGAGTGATGATGTTGTTGATGTTGTTCCCTCCCGTCCACAGCTCTAAGGAGTGATGATGTTGTTGATGTTGTTCCCTCCTCTCCACAGCTCTGAGGAGTGATGATGTTGTTGATGTTGTTCCCTCCCATCCACAGCTCTGAGGAGTGATGATGTTGTTGATGTTGTTCCCTCCTGTCCACAGCTCTGAGGAGTGATGATGTTGTTGATGTTGTTCCCTCCCGTCCACAGCTCTGAGGATTGATGATGTTGTTGATGTTGTTCCCTCCTGTCCACAGCTCTGAGGAGTGATGATGTTGTTGATGTTGTTCCCTCCCGTCCACAGCTCTGAGGAGTGATGATGTTGTTGATGTTGTTCCCTCCCGTCCACAGCTCTGAGGAGTGATGATGTTGTTGATGTTGTTCCCTCCTGTCCACAGCTCTGAGGAGTGATGATGTTGTTGATGTTGTTCCCTCCCGTCCACAGCTCTGAGGAGTGATGATGTTGTTGATGTTGTTCCCTCCCGTCCACAGCTCTAAGGAGTGATGATGTTGTTGATGTTGTTCCCTCCTGTCCACAGCTCTAAGGAGTGATGATGTTGTTGATGTTGTTCCCTCCCGTCCACAGCTCTGAGGAGTGATGATGTTGTTGATGTTGTTCCCCACTGCCCACAGCTCTGAGGAGTGATGATGTTGTTGATGTTGTTCCCCACTGCCCACAGCTCTGAGGAGTGATGATGTTGTTGATGTTGTTCCCCACTACCCACAGCTCTAAGGAGTGATGATGTTGTTGATGTTGTTCCCTCCCGTCCACAGCTCTAAGGAGTGATGATGTTGTTGATGTTGTTCCCTCCTGTCCACAGCTCTGAGGAGTGATGATGTTGTTGATGTTGTTCCCCACTGCCCACAGCTCTAAGGAGTGATGATGTTGTTGATGTTGTTCCCTCCTGTCCACAGCTCTAAGGAGTGATGATGTTGTTGATGTTGTTCCCTCCCGTCCACAGCTCTAAGGAGTGATGATGTTGTTGATGTTGTTCCCTCCCGTCCACAGCTCTAAGGAGTGATGATGTTGTTGATGTTGTTCCCTCCCGTCCACAGCTCTAAGGAGTGATGATGTTGTTGATGTTGTTCCCTCCCGTCCACAGCTCTAAGGAGTGGTGATGTTGTTGATGTTGTTCCCTCCTGTCCACAGCTCTAAGGAGTGGTGATGTTGTTGATGTTGTTCCCTCCCGTCCACAGCTCTAAGGAGTGATGATGTTGTTGATGTTGTTCCCTCCCGTCCACAGCTCTGAGGAGTGATGATGTTGTTGATGTTGTTCCCTCCCGTCCACAGCTCTGAGGAGTGATGATGTTGTTGATGTTGTTCCCTCCCGTCCACAGCTCTAAGGAGTGATGATGTTGTTGATGTTGTTCCCTCCCGTCCACAGCTCTAAGGAGTGATGATGTTGTTGATGTTGTTCCCTCCCGTCCACAGCTCTAAGGAGTGATGATGTTGTTGATGTTGTTCCCTCCCGTCCACAGCTCTAAGGAGTGATGATGTTGTTGATGTTGTTCCCTCCTGTCCACAGCTCTAAGGAGTGATGATGTTGTTGATGTTGTTCCCTCCCGTCCACAGCTCTGAGGAGTGATGATGTTGTTGATGTTGTTCCCTCCCGTCCACAGCTCTAAGGAGTGATGATGTTGTTGATGTTGTTCCCTCCCGTCCACAGCTCTAAGGAGTGATGATGTTGTTGATGTTGTTCCCTCCCGTCCACAGCTCTGAGGAGTGATGATGTTGTTGATGTTGTTCCCTCCCGTCCACAGCTCTAAGGAGTGATGATGTTGTTGATGTTGTTCCCTCCCGTCCACAGCTCTAAGGAGTGATGATGTTGTTGATGTTGTTCCCTCCCGTCCACAGCTCTAAGGAGTGATGATGTTGTTGATGTTGTTCCCCACTGTCCACAGCTCTAAGGAGTGATGATGTTGTTGATGTTGTTCCCTCCCGTCCACAGCTCTAAGGAGTGATGATGTTGTTGATGTTGTTCCCTCCCGTCCACAGCTCTAAGGAGTGATGATGTTGTTGATGTTGTTCCCTCCCGTCCACAGCTCTAAGGAGTGATGATGTTGTTGATGTTGTTCCCTCCCGTCCACAGCTCTAAGGAGTGATGATGTTGTTGATGTTGTTCCCCACTGCCCACAGCTCTAAGGAGTGATGTTGTTGATGTTGTTCCCTCCTGTCCACAGCTCTAAGGAGTGGGTATCTCTGTCTAAGGGAGAGAAGGACAAGCTCCAGCATCAGAGTGCTGAGGACGGTGAGTTCTGGTGAGTCTGTTCCTCTCTTCAACAAGTAATTCTAGCTGCTCTTGAAAGTCTAAGCTTGTTGTCTCTACCCACATTTCGTGTCCTCTCCTGTCTCGACTGGAAAAGGAAAACCCACACTCACTGAAATTGTCTTTCAGTTTTTAAAGTTATTCTGCTGCTAAAGAACATCTAAACGTACAGACTATTTCAGTGATTGCAAGTCTTCCTTTTCCAGTTGATATGCCTTTTGAACACTGCATCAAAAGATGTTTGATTACAAATTATCGAATAGAACATGCCAGTTCTCTCATCCCCTCTCCCACCCAGTCTCCCGCACCCTCTCCCTCCCTCCCCTTCTCTCCCTCTCCTCTGTCTCCCTCTCCCTCCAAAATTACTGAGGATAATAGCGGACGATATTGCCACTCCTATTTGCCATATCTTCAATTTAAGCCTACTAGAAAGTGTGTGCCCTCAGGCCTGGAGGGAAGCAAAAGTCATTCCGCTACCTAAGAATAGTAAAGCCCCCTTTACTGACTCAAATATCCAACCAATCAGCCTGTTACCAACCTTTAAACTTTTGAAAAAATTGTGCTTGACCAGATACAATGCTATTTTACTGTAAACAAATTGACAGACATTCAAGGAAGGACATTCAACATGCACGGCACTTACACAAATGACTGATGATTGGCTGAGAGAAATTGATGATCAAAATATTGTGGGGGCTGTTTTGTTAGACTTCAGTGCGGCTTTTGACATTATCGATCATACAGTGCCTTGCAAAATTATTCATCCCCTTGGCGTTTTTCTTATTTTGTTGCATTACAACCTGTAATTTCTATTTGGATTTCATGTAATGGACATACACAAAATAGTCCAAATTGGTGAAGTGAAATGAAATAAATATTGTTTCAAAAAAGTCTAAAAAATAAATAACGGAAAAGTGGTGTGTGCATATGTATTCACCCCCTTTGCTATGAAGCCCCTAAATAAGATCTGGTGCAACCAATTACCTTCAGAAGTCACATAATTAGTTAAATAAAGTCCACCTGTGTGCAATCTAAGTGTCACATGATCTGTCACATGATCTCAGTATATATACACCTGTTCTGAAAGGCCCCAGAGTCTGCAACACCACTAAGCAAGGGGCACCACCAAGCAAGCGGCACCATGAAGACCAAGGAGCTCTCCAAACAGGTCAGGGACAAAGTTGTGGAGAAGTACAGATCAGGGTTGGGTTATAAAAGAATATCCGTAACTTTGAACATCCAACAGAGCACCATTAAATCCATTATTAAAAAATGGAAAGAATATGGCACCACAACAAACCTGCCAAGAGAGGACCGCCCACCAAAACTCACGGACCAGGCAAGGAGGGCATTAATCAGAGAGGCAACAAAAGAGACCAAAGATAACCCTGAAGGAGCTGCAAAGCTCCACAGCGGAGATTGGAGTATCTGTCCATAGGACCACTTTAAACCGTACACTCCACAGAGCTGGGCTTTACGGAAGAGTGGCCAGAAAAAAGCCATTGCTTCAAGATAAAAATAAGAAAACACATTTAGTGTTCGCCAAAAGGCATGTGGGAGACTCCCCAAACATATGGAAGAAGGTACTCTGGTCAGATGAGACAAAAATTGAGCTTTTTGGCCATCAAGGAAAACTCTATGTCTGGCACAAACCCAACACCTCTCATCACCCCGAGAACACAGTCAAAACATCGGCAGGGACTGGGAAACTGGTCAGAATTGAAGGAGTGATGGATGGCGCTAAATACAGGGAAATTCTTGAGGGAAACCTGTTTCAGTCTTCCAGAGATTTGAGACTGTGACAAAGGTTCACCTTCCAGCAGGACAATGACCCTAAGCATACTGCTAAAGCAACACTCATGTGGTTTAAGGGGAAACATTTAAATGTCTTGGAATGGTCTAGTCAAAGCCCAGACCTCAATCCAATTGAGAATCTGTGGTATGACTTAAAGATTGCTGTACACCAGCGGAACCCATCCAACTTGAAGGAGCTGGAGCAGTTTTGCCTTGAAGAATGGGCAAAAATCCCAGTGACTAGATGTGCCAAGCTTATAGAGACATACCCCAAGAGACAAAAGGGGGCTCTACAAAGTACTGACTTTGGGGGGTTGAATAGTTATGCACGCTCAAGTTCTGTTTTTTTGTCTTATTTCTTGTTTGTTTCACCATAAAAAAATATTTTGAATCTTCAAAGTGGTAGGCATGTTGTGTAAATCAAATGATAGAAACCCCCCAAAAATCAATTTTAATTCCAGGTTGTAAGGCAACAAAATAGGAAAAATGCCAAGGGGGGTGAATACTTTCGCAAGCCACTGTAGTCTTCTGATGGAAAAACATACAGTGAGGGAAAAAAGCATTTTTCCCCTGCTGATTTTGTACGTTTGCCCACTGACAAAGACATGATCAGTCTATAATTTTAATGGAAGGTTTATTTGAACAGTGAGAGACAGAATAACAACAGAAAAATCTGCAAAACATGACTTAGTACTTGGTGGCAAAACCCTTGTTGGCAATCACAGAGGTCAGACGTTTCTTGTAGTTGGCCACCAGGTTTGCACACAACTACAAAATCCCTCCTGAGATGTGTGCAAACCTGGTGGCCAGCGGGGACTGTGAAGAGACACAGGTACAGACACATGGATTTTGTATTGTAGATATGTGGTAGTAGAGTAGTGGCCTGTTTAGCAAATGTATTAAAAATTTAAAACAAAAATACCTTATGTACATAAGTATTCAGACCCTTTGCTATGAGACTCAAAATTGAGCTCAGATGCATCCTGTTTCCATTGATCACTACAACTTGATTGGAGTCCACCTGTGGTAAATTCAATTGATTGGACATGATTTGGAAAAGGTACACATCTGTCTATGTAAGGTCCCACAGTGCATGTCAGAGCATAAACCAAGCCATGAGGTCGAAGGATTTGTCCGTAGAGCTCCGAGACAGGATTTTGTCGAGGCACAGATCTGGTGAAGGGTACCAAAACATTTCTGCAGCATTGAACGTCCCTAAGAACACAGTGGCCTCCATCATTCTGCAATGGCAGAAGTTTGGAACCACCAAAACTCTTCCTAGAGCTGGCTGCCCGGCCAAACTGAGCAATCAGGGGAGAAGGGCCTTGGTCAGGGAGGTGACCAAGAACCTGACGGTCACTCTGACAGAGCTCCAGAATTCCTCTGTGGAGATGGGAGAACCTTCCAGAAGGACAACCATCTCTGCAGCACTCCACCAATCAGGCCTTTATGGTAGAGTGGCCAGATGGAAGCCTCTCCTCAGTAAAAGGCACATGACAGCCCGCTTGGAGTTTGCCAAAAGGCACCTAAAGACTCTCAGACCATGAGAAACAAGATTCTCTGGTCTGATGAAACCAAGATTGAACTCTTTGGCCTGAATGCCAAGTGTCACGTCTGGAGGAAACCTGGCACCATGTAGTGTGCAGATTGATGAGAAAAAAATAACAATTCAATCCATTTTAGAATAAGGTTGTAACCAGGTTGTGAAACTGTATGTCAAGGGGTCTGAATACTTTCCTAATGCACTGTAACTGCTTTAATGTTCCTGCCTTGGCAGCAGCTAATGGGCATCCTTAATAAATACAAATACAAATCTCCTCTGTCTCCCTCCCCCGCTCTCTCTCCCTCCCCCTTTCTCTCTCTCTCTCTTCTCCCCCCCCCCCCCCAGGATGTCCTTTGAGGACTTCAAGAAGAACTACACCAAGATTGAGATCTGCAACCTGACCCCTGACGCCCTGGAGGACGATAAGATCCACAAGTGGACGGTGTCCGTGAACGAGGGTCGCTGGGTCAGAGGCTGCTCTGCCGGGGGCTGCAGGAACTACCCAGGTAGGAGATGACCCCTGACCTCTAAACTCTAACCCTGTATTATATATTACCCTCGTCTGTAATTTGTTATTATTTTAGTTTAGAAACTTAAGAGTTGAATTCAGACTTGGTTAGTAATTACAGTAATAATTGTTTTATTTTAAATACTTTAGATGTGGTTGATTGAGCTTGCCTGATGCAATGGAACCAATTGAATAGTCCTTCAATTGCACTTCCCTTCCACCTGACACTCCGGTCAGGCTAAATCAAATGTTCCCAAAGTATTTGAAAGAATAATATTATTTGAACCCAGGTCTGGTTGCCTCGTGTATAGGATTGTCCTCATACGGGGCACCATTACATAGTAGACAATGTCCATCAAAGGCCCAGTGCAGTCAAAAACGTGATTTTCCTGTGTTTTATATATATTTCCACACTATGAGGTTAGAATAATACTGTGAAATTGTGAAAATTATAATAATGCCTTTTTAGCGTAAAAGCTTTTTGAAAAGACCGTATGAAATTTCAGCTGTTTTGATGGGATGGAGTTTTGGCCTGCCTGGTGACATCACCAGGCGGTAAATTAGTTAAAAGACCGATAAGAAAGAGAGTTCCAAACCTCTCTGCCAATAACAGATAGTTTTTAGTTTTCCCCTCCCCTCTCAGACCACTCCCAGCCCCTCCCCACTCCCAGCCCCTCCCCACTCAGACCACTCCCAGCCCCTCCCCACTCCCAGCCCCTCCCCACTCAGACCACTCCCAGCCCCTCCCCACTCCCAGCCCCTCCCCACTCCCCAGCCCCTCCCCACTCAGACCACTCCCAGCCCCTCCCCACTCCCAGCCCCTCCCCACTCCCAGCCCCTCCCCACTCAGACCACTCCCAGCCCCTCCCCACTCCCAGCCCCTCCCCACTCCCAGCCCCTCCCCACTCCCAGCCCCTCCCCACTCAGACCACTCCCAGCCCCTCCCCACTCCCAGCCCCTCCCCACTCCCAGCCCCTCCCCACTCCCAGCCCCTCCCCACTCCCAGCCCCTCCCCACTCCGACCACTCCCAGACATTCCTAGCAACATTTTTGCTTGAGAAATTGCTCTTTGCTAAGAAGCTATTTTTGATTATTTTTGACTATTTTAATAGAAAAAAAATCATAGTAAGGTACTTAATTGTTATCCAGAAATGATTTGATATTGAGATAAAAACGGTAGCATTGGACCTTTAAGTGATGTTGGTGTGTTTGGTCCTAAACCCCATGCTCATTGAGTGATGTTGGTGTGTTTGGTCCTAAACCCCATGCTCATTGAGTGATGTTGGTGTGTTTGGTCCTAAACCCCATGCTCATTGAGTGATGTTGGTGTGTTTGGTCCTAAACCCCATGCTCATTGAGTGATGTTGGTGTGTTTGGTTCTGGACCCCATGCTCATTGAGTGATGTTGGTGTTTTTGGTTCTGGACTCACTCCCTACTTGCAGATACATTCTGGACCAACCCTCAGTACCGGCTGCGTCTCCTGGAGGAGGACGATGACCCAGAGGACAACGAGGTGGCGTGTTCCTTCGTGATCACTCTGATGCAGAAGAACAGACGGAAAGAGAGGAAGTTGGGAGCCAATCTCTTTACCATCGGATTTGCCATCTACGAGGTGATCCCTGTCAGCCATCCCCCCAAAAACAAACTACTAAACAAAAAAATCCACTACTAAAGAATCTAAGATAACTTGTATTATTCTTTAAAGGGGTAATCTGCAGTTCAAATAACAACAAAGCACATAGTTAGTTTAAATGTCCAAAAAATGGATATACAAATCACAGATTGCCCCTTTAATGCATGGCCACATACATGCAGCATTCTGTTTGTAAACAGTTTCGTTTTGAGCAGAGCGGTGTTTGCTGATCCTGTTTCTGGTGCAAACACAACTCACTCTTCTCTCTGTCTGTCTGTCTGTCTGTCTGCCTGCAGGTGCCGAAGGAGGTAAGGACAGGTGTTTGTTTACACATTGAGGTTTTATCGTTCTTAATACACTTTACCGCCATATGTATTTATAAACGTTTTACTATGAACGTTTCTATGATTCATAGTATAACAACAATTACTTTTCATTCCCAATCTTTCTCCTCCTCCGTCTGTGTGTTTCTGACCAGATGCACGGCAACAAGCAGCACATGCAGAAGGACTTCTTCCTGTTCAACTCGTCCAAGGCTCGCTGCAAGTCCTACATCAACCTGAGGGAGGTGACCCAGCGCTTCCGTCTGAGCCCCGGGGAGTACGTCATCATCCCTTCCACCTACGAGCCTCACCAGGAGGGAGAGTTCATCCTCAGAATCTTCTCCGAAAAGAGGAACACCTCAGAGTGAGTGGCTGAGAGAGCGGGGTGGTGGTGGAGCGCAGAGGGAATATGGGAATATGTCGAGTCCCCCTGGGAAAAGCAATGCAAGGCCATAGTGGAGTGTCATAGAGGTTTATTAACAGTATGTCTGGGATTTAAACAAACACAGATAAACGGCCTGTGCACTGCGATATACTTTTTAAAGGCAATTTCCCAGACGTTTTTGCTGCGATCACGTTGTGTCGCTGTAAACGCAGCAGATGTCGTTGTTTAAAGATTAAATCACCTTTTAAAAGTCAATCGCAGTGCACAGGCCGTTTATTTGCGTTTGTTTGAATCCCGGACCAATGTTTTCCTTGGTCACTGGTTAACGATATATATATCTATAGATCTGCAAATACATTTATCCATTCTATTTCCTTAACTGCCATCTTGGTAATAGTATCGGGATGGGGAATGAGTATTTGTTATCGCCAGCTTCTCTGGTGTTTCCCATTTATAGTATCTTATGTCTATGATGGGTGAACAGTCACAGCATCTGGTCCCGTGTCTTAGATGGGTTGGTGTCAGGTTACAGCGCCCCCTTTGGGGGGAGGGGTTACTGGGGTTATGGTGGTGAGGTCAGACCGCTAAGGACAAACTATTTTAACGGCAATTTGATTTCTAGAGCTGGAAGGAATCGGTCCCAGTTTGAAGCTGTTATGGAATCTTTTTTAGGACAAGCGACTTCAGATTTGGGCATGCTCGGGTAAACATTTTCTTTCAGTATTAAAATAAACCTCCTGCTCTGACTCCAAGTATCCCAAAACAATTTCCACCCTAGACGACAAGAGCTCCTAGCTCTGATGGAAGAGGGGGACCTAAAGGACTGGAAGAAGCTGTTAAGAGATATGATAGACCAGGTCTGGACCCAACACTCCTACAGAGTAGACCAGGTCTGGACCCAACACTCCTACAGAGTAGACCAGGTCTGGACCCAACACTCCTACAGAGTAGACCAGGTCTGGACCCAACACTCCTACAGAGTAGACCAGGTCTGGACCCAACACTCCTACAGAGTAGACCAGGTCTGGACCCAACACTCCTACAGAGTAGACCAGGTCTGGACCCAACGCTCCTATAGAGTAGACCAGGTCTGGACCCAACGCTCCTACAGAGTAGACCAGGTCTGGACCCAACACTCCTACAGAGTAGACCAGGTCTGGACCCAACACTCCTACAGAGTAGACCAGGTCTGGACCCAACGCTCCTATAGAGTAGACCAGGTCTGGACCCAACGCTCCTACAGAGTAGACCAGGTCTGGACCCAACGCTCCTACAGAGTAGACCAGGTCTGGACCCAACACTCCTACAGAGCAGACCAGGTCTGGACCCAACGCTCCTACAGAATAGACCAGGTCTGGACCCAACGCTCCTACAGAGCAGATATGACCAACAAACATGGACTGAACCTAAGAGGCCGAGACAAGGCAGAAAACTGCCCATAAGAGTCCCTGGTCTTAAATAGTGGCCTTCAGAAGAATATGGTCAATAAGACCTATCTTAGAAGTTGACTAAAAGAAAACAAGTTCTCAAGAAGAAGAGGAAAAATAACAAAACATGGATAAAAAAAATAATATATATATAAACACAATTAACTAACATTTAGTTCACAGCTCGGTGTGAGGCGGTAAGAGTGTGTTGTACAATATTGTCATTCAACTCAATGCTATTGGGTATAGGACCATAATCCTCTAGAATGTTCCGAGAGAAATGTGCAGTATAGTTCCATATTATTGATGTCACAAAATTACAGTTAGTAACAATATTCAGATATATATATATATATATATATATATAGACACTTAGGAATACCGATAAAAACTTGTAAATGTGATGAAATGTTTAGTTGGGATGCTGTAGAGTGTTTGGCTCCTTTGTAAGGAAGTGTGGAGGCTTATGGCCCAATGAGAAGTCCTGTTAGTGTCACCATGGTGACTGTGGTTTGTTGGTTTCCACTCAGGGAGATCGAGAACAGGATCGAGGCTGATCATCCAGTGGTGAGTTTTAGTTCTCTGTCCTTCATTCTGCCCAGCATCATGTATTCATCTCTCACAGTCCACAGCCCAACTTCCTGTTTCTCTCAGTCTTCTCCAGTCTCTATTTGCTTACCCTCTGGCAGTGAGCCCATGCCTTGGATCAGTGAGAGATGAATAAAAAAAGATAGTTTTCCTTGTACTTTTTTTTATTTGGATTTTTACGTCGGCATTGAAACAGAAAATTGGCCGATATCTGTGAGAAATTACTTGAAAAGGACGGTATTTATTTTTTGTGTTAAAATGTTTACATCAGTATTCAGAAGTGATATTGGCTGATAGTATTATAGCCTCTCAGACACTTTCTCTCCCCCCACTTCCCCCCCTCACCCCTCATCTCTGTATTTCTCCTCCCTCCCCATCTCTCTATATATATCTCCCTCTCCCTCCCTCCCCATCTCTCTGTATCTCTCCCTCCCCATCTTTCTGTATCTCTCCCTCTCTCTCCCTCCCCGTCTCTCTGTATCTCTCCCTCCCCCTCTTTCCTTTCTGTTATCCTCTCTCTCTCTCGTATCTCTCTCTCTCTCCCTATCTCTCCTCTCTCTGCTCGATCTCCTCCCTCTCCATCTCTCTGTATTCTCCCTCCCTCCCCATCTCTCTATATATATCTGCTCTTCATTCATCTCGACATCTCTCTGTATCTATCTGACTCTCCCTCCCCCCCTCTCTTTATCTCTCCCCCGAGACTCTCTCCCTCTAGCTCTGACTCTCCACTCTTCTCTCCCTCCCCATCTCTCTACATCTCCCCTCCCCCCTCTCTCTGGTATCCTCCCCCCCCCCACGTCTATGTTTCTCGCTCCCCCCTCGCCCTCCCCATCTCTCTGTATCCTCTCCCCCTCTCTCTCCCTCTCCTCCCATCTCTCTCTCTCCCCCCCTCCCCATCTCTATGTATCTCTCCCCGGTTCCTCTCTCTCCATCTCTCTGTATCCCTCCCATCCTCTATCTCTCTCCCCACCTCTCTCCTCTCAGTATCTCTCCTCCCTCCTCCCCATCTCTATGTATATCTCCCTCATATCTACCTCCCCTCTCTATGGTATCTCTCCCTCCCTCCCTCCCATCTCGCTGTAATCTCTACCCCCATCCCCATCTCTCTGTATCTCTCCCCCTCCCCATCTCTCTGTATCTCTTCTCTCTCCCTCTCTCTTCTTCTCCTTCTCAGCCGGCCCCAGCCAATGCGGGGGAGGAGAGTGAGGAGGACCAGCAGTTCCGGAGCATCTTTCAGCAGATAGCCGGGGATGTGAGTACTGGGAGTACAGGGAAGCCAGGGAGCGCTTGGGGGAGTGTGAGTATAGTGCTGGGGTGGGTGGTCAATCAATGTGCTCCCAATTTAGTGCCGGGATTCAATCCGATCTGCGTCAGAGCCGCATTATAGCACGCTTGACATTTAAAGGTAATTTTCAGATTGAGCCGACATATGCAGCGTTTACCGTGAATGCAATCTCTTCGAACACGGGAACATTCCCTTTCAAAGTTGCATTGTCTACAACCCACGATCAGATTGAATCATGCCTGGGTTATTATTATATACTGTATTACACCTGCTGTACAGTGGGGAAAAAAAGTATTTAGTCAGCCACCAATTGTGCAAGTTCTCCCACTTAAAAAGATGAGAGAGGCCTGTAATTTTCATCATAGGTACACGTCAACTATGACAGACAAAATGAGGAAAGAAAATCCAGAAAATCACATTGTAGGATTTTTAATGAATTTATTTGCAAATGATGGTGGAAAATAAGTATTTGGTCAATAACAAAAGTTTCTCAATACTTTGTTATATACCCTTTGTTGGCAATGACACAGGTCAAACGTTTTCTGTAAGTCTTCACAAGGTTTTCACACACTGTTGCTGGTATTTTGGCCCATTCCTCCATGCAGATCTCCTCTAGAGCAGTGATGTTTTGGGGCTGTCGCTGGGCAACACAGACTTTCAACTCCCTCCAAAGATTTTCTATGGGGTTGAGATCTGGAGACTGGCTAGGCCACTCCAGGACCTTGAAATGCTTCTTACGAAGCCACTCCTTCGTTGCCCGGGCGGTGTGTTTGGGATCATTGTCATGCTGAAAGACCCAGCCACGTTTCATCTTCAATGCCCTTGCTGATGGAAGGAGGTTTTCACTCAAAATCTCACGATACATGGCCCCATTCATTCTTTCCTTTACACGGATCAGTCGTCCTGGTCCCTTTGCAGAAAAACAGCCCCAAAGCATGATGTTTCCACCCCCATGCTTCACAGTAGGTATGGTGTTCTTTGGATGCAACTCAGCATTCTTTGTCCTCCAAACACGACGAGTTGAGTTTTTACCAAAAAGTTATATTTTGGTTTCATCTGACCATATGACATTCTCCCAATCCTCTTCTGGATCATCCAAATGCACTCTAGCAAACTTCAGACGGGCCTGGACATGTACTGGCTTAAGCAGGGGGACACGTCTGGCACTGCAGGATTTGAGTCCCTGGTGGCGTAGTGTGTTACTGATGGTAGGCTTTGTTACTTTGGTCCCAGCTCTCTGCAGGTCATTCACTAGGTCCCCCTGTGTGGTTCTGGGATTTTTGCTCACCGTTCTTGTGATCATTTTGACCCCACGGGGTGAGATCTTGCGTGGAGCCCCAGATCGAGGGAGATTATCAGTGGTCTTGTGTGTCTTCCATTTCCTAATAATTGCTCCCACAGTTGATTTCTTAAAACCAAGCTGCTTACCTATTGCAGATTCAGTCTTCCCAGCCTGGTGCAGGTCTACAATTTTGTTTCTGGTGTCCTTTGACAGCTCTTTGGTCTTGGCCATAGTGGAGTTTGGAGTGTGACTGTTTGAGGTTGTGGACAGGTGTCTTTTATACTGATAACAAGTTCAAACAGGTGCCATTAATACAGGTAACGAGTGGAGGACAGAGGAGCCTCTTAAATAAGAAGTTACAGGTCTGTGAGAGCCAGAAATATTGCTTGTTTGTAGGTGACCAAATACTTATTTTCCACCATAATTTGCAAATAAATTCATTAAAAATCCTACAATGTGATTTTCTGGAAAACATTTTCTCAATTTGTCTGTCATAGTTGACGTGTACCTATGATGAAAATTACAGGCCTCTCTCATCTTTTTAAGTGGGAGAACTTGCACAATTGGTGGCTGACTAAATACCTTTTTTACCCACTGTATATCTGTCATGTTACTGTATATCTGTCATGTTACTGTATTACACCTGCTGTATATCTGTCATGTTACTGTATATCTGTCATGTTACTGTATATCTGTCATGTCACGGTTGTTATCAGACCTGCTGTATACAGTGCATTCGGAAAGTATTCAGACCCCTCGACTTAGTCCACATTTTGTTACGTTACAGCCTTATTCTAAAATTGATTACATTGCTTTTTCTTCTTATCAATCTACACACAATACCCCATAACGGCAAAGCAAAATCAGGTTTTTTGATATTTTTGCAAATTTTAAAATAAAAAAACAAACTGAAATATCATATTTACAGAAGTATTCAGAACCTATACTCAGTCCTTTGTTGAAGCACCTTTGGCAGCAATTACAGCATTGAGTCTTCTTGGGTATGATGCTACAAGCTTGGCACACCTGTATTAGGGGAGTTTCTCCCATTCTTCTCTGCAGATCCTCTCAAGCTCTGTCAGGTTGGATGGGGAGCGTTGCTGCACAGCTATTTTCAGGTCTCTCCAGAGATGTTCGATCGGGTTCAAGTCCGGTCTCTGGCCGGGCAACTCAAGGACATTCAGAGACTTGTCCCGAAGCCACTCCTGTGTTGTCTTGACTGTGTGCTTAGGGTCGTTGTCCTGTTGCAAGGTGAACCTTTGCCCCAGTCTGAGGTCCTGAGTGCTCTGGAGCAGGTTTTCATCAAGGATCTCTCTGTACTTTGCTCCGTTCATCTTTCCCTTGATCCTGACTAGTCTCTCAGTCCCTGCCGCTGAAAAACATCCCCACAGCATGATGCTGCCACCACCATGCTTCACTGTAGGGATGGTGCCAGGTTTCCTCCAGACATGACGCTTGGCATTCAGGACTAAGAGTTCAATCATGGTTTCATCAGACCAGAGAATCTTGTTTCTCATGGTCTGAGAGTCCTTTAGGTGTCTTTTGGCAAACTCCAAGCGGGCTGTCATGTGCCTTTTACTGAGGGGTGGCTTCCATCTGGCCACTCTACCATAAAGGCTTGATTGGTGGAGTGCTGCAGAGATGGTTGTCCTTCTGGAAGGTTCTCCCATCTCCACAGAGGAACTCTGGAGCTCTGTCAGAGTGACCATCGGGTTTTTGGTCACCTCCCTGACCAAGGCCCTTCTCCCCCGATTGCTCAGTTTGGCCGGGCGGCCAGCTCTAGGAAGAGTCTTGGTGGTTCCAAACTTCTTCCATTTAAGAATGATGGAGGCCACTGTGTTCTTGGGGACCTTCAATGCTGCAGAAATGTTTTGGTAACCTTCCCCAGATCTGTACCTCGACAAAATTCTCTACGGACAATTCTTTCGACCTCATGGCTTGGTATTTGCTCTGACATGCTGTGGGACCTTATATAGACAGGTGTGTCCCTTTCCAAATCATGTCCAATCAATTGAATTTACCACAGGTGGACTCCAATCAAGTTTTTAGAAACATCTCAAGGATGATCAATGGAAAAAGGTCTGAATACTTATAAGGTATGTTTTTTTTTTTTTTTTTATAAATTTGCTAACAATTCTAAAAACCTGTTTTCACTTTGTCATTATGGGGTATTGTGTGTACCGTAGATTGCGGAGGAATATTACAAAAAAATCAATTTTAGAATAAGGCTGTAACATAACGAAATGTGAAAAAGTCAAGGGCTCTGAATACTTTCCGAAGGCACTGTATCAGTCATGTTACTGTTGTTATCAGACCTGGGTTCAAATACTTTATCTACACTTGACTGAGCTTGCCTGGTGAAATGAATGTCTCAAATGATTTAAGTAAGTATTATCAAAAGAAAACAAAAACTATTTGAACTCAGATCTGGTTATCAAATGAATTTGATGAGGTTCTATGTATCAGGTGAGGATGCTTTCAGACATCAAAAGATTAACACAAAAAACTAATGTCATTGAAACATTAACCATATTCATGTTTAAAATGTTAAAAGTGTCCAGAGATAAACTCAGATGAGTCCATATGTCCTTCTCCCACTGTCTCCTCTCTCACAGGAAATGGAAATAACCGCCAACGAGCTGAAGAATGTGCTCAACAGGGTTGTCTCCAAACGTAAGACTAAGCGTGTTTCTCAATACGCATACTACCGTGCTCCACACGCTCCGAGTTCGTTCTCCGAAGAGTTCTCTTGAGTACGTTCTTGTGAGGACGAGAGTGTGGAGAACACATAAAATGTTACATTTGAGAAGCACTCTGTGCTAACGTTAATGCATTAACGTGACCTTTGACCAAAACAAGATGTACATAAAGCAAAGGTTTTACATCATTATTAGCAAGCTATATGTGAATCGTATTAATCTAGCTAGCCAGCTAGTTTTACATGTAAAAAAAAAAGACCTACAACTAATGTTGTTATGCAAGGTATATGGCCAACGTTCGCTTAAGATTTCTTGTGGGCAGCTAGCTAGCTACCAATTCTTCATCAGTTAACGTGCGATCTACGACACTACAGTTGGTATTGTAGGCAGGTAAACATGCCAAAATGAACACAGTACGTATTTATTAACGTATTATGATAAACTATTGTCAGGCAACATATAAGATGTGAATGGGCAACTTTTCATTCTGAAGTCAGAGTTAACTTTCATTTTTCGGCGGTTTTTTAACGTGGTTGCATTACATTATGTAAACAACCCTGGGAATATTTCAGTCGAAGATTGCATCGACGTATGCTTTGAAATGTGTGTACAAATGAAGTACGCATCTGAGAAGGGCCCTCCGTGCTCCGTTTCGCATACTTTGATTTGGACTCGTACTCCGACCGTTGTGTGCTCCGATTTGCATGCCGGGACCACGGTAGTATGCATTTTGAGAAAACACCCTAAAACGACACTTTACAGTCATCTTCTGCATCATTAGAGAAGGGGATCAACAAGGCTCCGTTTTATGTTTACGTAGTCTGACAGATTAGCCTTGAACTGACACCTTATTCAACTAAGTTAGGGTTTGTTGGTGATTGGTCGATTAGTTACCCCCCCCTCTCTCTCTTCCTCAGATAATGACCTGAACACAGAGGGTTTTAGCGTGGAGTGCTGCAGGAGCATGATCGCACTCATGGACGTATCCTCTGTATCTGTGTTGTCTGTAGATAGAACACAACCTGCAGAGACCCGCCTGCAGAGACCCGCCTGCAGAGACCCGCCCGGGTCCGGTTGTGTTGTCTATAGCAGTGGTTCTCAAACCTCTCCTCGGGACCCCCAGACCTTTCACAATGTCGTTGTAGCCCTGAACTAGCGCACCCGGTTCACTTATAATAATAATAATAATAATAATAATAATAATAATAAGCCATTTAGCAGACGCTTTTATCCAAAGCGACTTACAGTCATGCGTGCATACATTTTTACGTATGGGTGGTCCCGGGGATCGAACCCACTACCCTGGCGTTACAAGCGCCGTGCTCTACCAGCTGAGCTACAGAGGACCACACATAGTCAAGGGCTTGAATAACTAGTTGACTATTTGAAATCAGATGTGCTGGCGCAGGAATAAATCTAAAAACATGCAACAGTTGTGGGTCCCCATGAGAGGTCTGAGCGGTGTGTAGAGAGAGAGAGAGAGAGCACAGCCCGTTGGGACCCAAGACAGGCCTACGGTGGGACAAACATCAGGGCCAAATTCACCTTTTACTGCAGTAGCACGTGCCCAAGGTCATGGGGGTGTTACAGAAAAGAACTGATGACGTATACTAATGCATCAACCAGGGAGTGTTGAAACAGGTTATTCTGAGTAAGTGACTTTGTTGACCGGGGTGATTGTGAGTTTTCCACATGTCGTCCGCCATTGTGGTCCTTAACTACAGCTAACCAGATGGACGGGACTGGCAGACTCAACCTGCAGGAGTTCAGACATCTCTGGAACAAGATCAAACAGTGGCAGGTGAGAATGCTCTTCTTCTTATTCTTAAGAATACTGGGTTCATCTTCACTCCTAATGGCACTGTAAATATGGTCAGATTTGTAGATTCATAAATGCTCTGTTTTTCAGGGAATCTTTCAACACTATAACTCGGACCAGGCTGGTAGCATCAACAGCTACGAGATGAGAAACGCCGTCAACGATGCAGGTTAATGTGTTTTCCGGATTTACCAGATACAATCAATAGAATAGACGGGTAGCTTGTTTCCCTGTTTCAGCATCTACAACAATAGGTTCTGTTTGGTTAAAGTCCCCTATAGCAGTGGTGTAAAGTAATTAAGTAAAAATACTTTAAAGTACTACTTAAGTAGTTTTTGGGGGTATCTGTACTTTACTATTTATATATTTGACAACTTTTACTTCACTACATTCCTAAAGAAAATAATGTACTTTTTACTCCATACATTTTCCCTGACACCCAAAAGTACTCGTTACATTTTGAATGGTTGTGGTCCAATTCACACACTGATCAAAAGAACATCCCTGGTCCTCCCTGCTGCCTCTGATCTGGCGGACTCACTAAACACACATGCTTAAATTTGTGAATGATGTCTGAGTGTTGGAGTGTGCCGCTGGCTATCCGTAACTGGAAAAAAAAATGAAAATGGTGCCGTCTGGTTGGCTTAATATAAAGAATTTGATATGATTTACACTTTTACTTTTGATACTTAAGTATATTTTAGCAATTACATTTACTTTTGATACTTAAGTATATTTAAAACCAAATACTTTTACTCAAGTGGTATTTTACTGGGTGACTTCCACTTATTAAGGTATCTTTACTTTTACTCAAGTATAACAAATTGGGTACTTTTTACACCACTGCCCTATAGAAAGCTGCCCTCTCCTTTCCAGGAAGGATATCATTTTATTTATCTTTATAGGGTGATTGATACCCTTTACATTCCAGAACACTTTCAGCATTGAAATTAAGTTCCTAACATAGAGTACTATAGTAGATATACAGTGCATTCGGAAAGTATTCAGACCCCTTGACTTTTCCCCCCCCCCATTTTGTTACATTAAAGCCTTATTCTAAAATTGATTAAATAGTTGTTTTCCCCTCGTCAATCTACACACAATACCCCATAATGACAAAGCAAAAACAGGTTTTTTGAAATTGTTGCAATTAAAAAATAAACTGAAATATCACATTTACATAATTATTCAGACCCTTTATTCAGTACTTTGTTGAAGCACCTTTGGCAGCGATTACAACCTCGAGTCTTCTTGGGTATGACGCTACAAGCTTGGCACACCTGTATTTGGGGAGTTTCTCCCATTCTTCTCTGCAGGTCCTCTCAAGCTCTGCCAGGTTGATGTTTGATAGGGTTAAAGTCCGGGCTCTGGCTGGGCCACTCAAGGACATTCAGAGACTTGTCCCGAAGCCACTCCTGCATTGTCTTGGCTGTGGGCTTAGGGTCGTTGTCCTGTTGGAAGGTGAACCTTCGCCCCAGTCTGAGGTCCTGAGCGCTCTGGAGCAGGTTTTCATCAAGGATCTCTCTGTACTTTGCTCCGTTCATCTTTCCCTCGATCCTGACTAGTCTCGCAGTCCCTACCGCTGAAAAACATACCCACAGCATGACGCTGCCACCACCATGCTTCACCGTAGGGATGGTGCCAGGTTTCCTCCAGACGTGACACTTGGCATTCAGGCCAAAGAGTTCAATCTTGTTTCTCATGGTCTGAGAGTCTTTAGGTGCGCAGGCCTTCATGTGCCTTTTACTGAGGAGTGGCTTCTTTCTGGCCACTCTACCATAAAGGCCTGATTGGTGGAGTGCTGCAGAGATGGTTGTCCTTCTGGAATGTTCTCCCATCTCCACAGAGGAACTCTGGAGCTCTGTCGGAGTGACCATCGGGTTCTTGGTCACCTCCGTGACCAAGGCCCTTCTCCCCTGATTGCTCAGTTTGGCCGGGTGGCCAGCTCTAGGAAGAGTCTTGGTGGTTCCAAACTTCTTCCATTTAAGAATGATGGAGGCCACTGTGTTCTTGGGGACCTTCAATGCTGCAGACATTTTTTGGTACCCTTCCCCAGATCTGTGCCTCGGCACAATCCTGTCTCGGAGCTCTACGGACAATTCCTTCGACCTCATGGCTTGGTTTTTGCTCTGACATGCACTGTGGGACCTTATATAGACAGGTGTGTACCTTTCCAAATCATGTCCAATCAATTGAATTTACTACAGATGGACTCCAATCAAGTTGTAGAAACATCAAGGATGATCAATGGAAACAGGATGCACCTGAGCTCAATTTCAAGTCTCATAGCAAAGGGTCTGAATACTTATGTAAATAAGGTATCTGTTTTTTATTTTGAATAAATTAGCAAAAATGTCTAAAAACCTGTTTTCGCTTTGTCATTATGGGGTATTGTGTGTAGATTGATGAGGAAAAAACTAAATGTAATCAATTTTAGAATAATGCTGTAATGTAACAAAATGTGGAAAAAGTCAAGGGGTCTGAATACTTTCCGAATGCACTGTATTATAAAGAGGGTCCTCTGTATCGAAAGAAAAGTATCCAGAATATCTAGGTGATGTTAGAGTAGATACTTCTATTAGGAAGAAAATGGTTAGTCTCGCCCCCCAGCAGGCTCCCTCTCTGTGGAGACGTCTGGTTTCACAGCGCCTCAGAACGGGACTAGCGCCTCAGAACGGGACTAGCACCTCAGAACGGGACTAGCGCCTCAGAACGGGACTTGACTGGAAGTCTATGGCAGGAGTGGCGAAAACAGACAACGGTTTTGATTGGCTGATCTCTCAGTCCATCACCATCCAGCACAAGCCTTAGAACCTCCCCGCTACATTGTCGACTTCAAAGAGCAAGCAGCACAAGTGATTTAAAAAAGGCACCCACCAGAGGGCAATGCACCCCTATTTCCACATAACTCCTGCCATAGAGTGGACATGCTTGTTTTAGTTCCACCGCCGAAGAATGATGCAGGCTACTCATACATATTCACGTAGCCTAGATGTAGCCCAGTAGGCTCACGTTAGCTAGCTAGCTAACTTAGGTGGTTCATTGTTGCCCATGTTAGCTAGCTAGCTAACTTAGGTGGTTCATTGTTGCCCATGTGAGGAAGTTAGGCTACCTAGCTAAAATGCTTGCTAGCTTATGAAAACTAAAACTAAAAGCGTAGAGCCATAGACCGTTTTGTCAACTAGTCTACAAGTAGAGAGCCATAGACCGTTTTGTCAACTAGTCTACAAGGGTAGTAGTGTGAGTCCCCAATATTTCTTTACTTGCGATTTCTTTACTTGCGCGCCCAAAAAATCAGTACCATGGACAGCCACATGATATTTAGCAACATTGATTAGACAAAATTGTTTTTTGTTTTCAGTGTATTAAACTAAGCATATATAGCCTTGTTGATGTAATTATGTTTAAATTTTTAAGTTGAAATGGTGCTGGAATAGCGGAGGCAGGGCTCCTGTTGTCTTTGGGTTAGGGTTAGGGTTAGTTAGTATAGCGGAGGCAGTGCTCCTGTTGTCTTTGGGTTAGGGTTAGTTAGTATAGCGGAGGCAGGGCTCCTGTTGTCTTTGGGCTGACTTGCTGTAACTCCGTGGTTCTAAAGCAGTAGTGGTTTAGTAAACTGTCGAAAACGTGAACTTGCTTGACCGTGCTGCAGGTCATACAAACAGTTTGTTACGTGCAATATTACCGGACAGACGTTGCTCTCCGGGTTTTGTGACGAAACAAACAGTATGTGTAGTTGAATTTATTCCTCCACTGTTTGACTGTTGTCTTTTTGTTGTCACGACCTTATTGTATATCACGGTGGCGTATGAACTAATGGGATATAGAGCAAACAACGCAATTATCACAACATAGGTTGTAATATGGCTTTTTGACTGGCCTGGCTTCCCCAGTGATTTTACCCACACACCACTACTGGCCCAAACTCAGAATCAGTTGGGCTTCCTTAAAAGAATAAAGCCAATGTGATAGACCCATGGGGCGGCGTACAATTGGCCCAGCGTCGTCCAGGGTATGGGAGGGAATGGCCGGCAGGGATGTAGCTCAGTTGGTAGAGCATGGCGTTGGGTTCGATTCCCACGGGGGGGCAGTATGAAAAAAAAAAAAAAAAAAATATATATATATATATATATATATATATATAACAAAAAAATAATAATGTATGCACTCACTACCTGTAAATCGCTCTGGATAAGAGCGTCTGCTAAATGACTTACATGTAAATAGAACATTTATTTCGATTGTCGCCATTTTTGAAAAGTCCCATCTAATACAGCTGTAGCCAGCTCGCTCCATCTCCGGCCTCTATTTTAACCACACCCAAAGTCCCACTTTGTTGCACAATGTTACCAGGATCTATGCGCGAGCAATCCAATCCTGGGGACGAGGTAAGAAAAGTGTTAGAAAAGTATTCAGAGTATCTGTGACATTGTTAGAGGTCATTTAAAAATCAGAGTAAATGTATTCAGACCTTAGTGTTATCGTTAAATGTGGCAGCCTGGTAACTGACTCCATCCACTCCACAGCCTAATCTCTATGTCCAATATATTTTATCTCTAACGGTCTTGTCACTGCTCAGTTGTGTCTTGTGACCCGTTCAGGCTTCCGTCTCAACAACCAGCTGTATGACATCATCACCATGCGTTACGCCAACGAGGGCATGAACATCGACTTTGACAGCTTCATCAGCTGTCTGGTCCGGCTCGAAGCCATGTTCAGTAAGTCACTCACGCGCACACAAACTTCACCTTCCTATTCTATCTGGTCCGGCTCAAAGCCATGTTCATGTTTTATTGATTGATTGATGAAATGGGGTTTGTTTGCAGGGGCGTTCCAGGCCTTTGACCAGGATGGGGATGGTACGATCAGACTCAGTGTCTTGGAGGTATGCTGCTAATGCTAACGTTACACAGTATGGAGTACGATGACGAATAACGTGTTGCCTTAGGGGCTGTGTCGACTGAAGACGTTCTTCAGCGCTAATGTCTTTTCACTCCTTGTTTTCTATGGTGCGCTATGATACTACCCCTCTATGTCCTGATACTACCCCTCTATGTCCTAACTGATACTACCCCTCTATGTCCTAACTGATACTACCCCTCTATGTCCTAACTGATACTACCCCTCTATGTCCTAACTGATACTACCCTCTATCCTGATACTACCCCTCTATGTCCTGATACTACCCCTCTATGTCCTGATACTACCCCTCTATGTCCTGATACTACCCCTCTATGTCCTGATACTACCCCTCTATGTCCTAACTGATACTACCCCTCTATGTCCTGATAATACCCTATATGTCCTGACGTGATACACCCCTAATGTCTTTGTTACTACCCCATCTATGTATGACTGATACTACCCTCTATGTCCTGATATACCCCCTATATCCTAACTGATACTACCCCTCTATGTCCGAACTGATACTACCCCTCTATTCATAACTGAACTACCCCCTCTATGTACATGATAATACCCCTCTATATCCTAACTGATACTTACCCCTCTATGCATGATACTACCCCTCTATGTACGATAAGACCCCTCTCTATATTAATGATACTACCCTTCTATATCTAAATGAACTACCCCTCTATGTCGATACTACCCCTCTATGCCCTGATAATACCTCTTAGGGCCTTGTACTACCCCTCTATGTCCTACGATACTACCATCTATGTCACAACTGATACTACCCCTCTATGTCCTAACTGATACTACCCCTCTATGTCCTAACTGATACTACCCCTCTAGTCCTGACACTAACCTCTCTGTCCTAAATGCTATACCCTCTATTTCCCTAACTGATACTACACTATATGTCTGATACTACCCCTCTATGTCTGATATACCTCTATATCCTGATACTACCCCTCTATATCTGATACTCCCTCTATGTCTGATACTACCCCTCTATGTCCTAACTGATTAATACCATCTATGTCCTACTGATACTACCCCCTATGTCCTAATGATACACCCCTATGTCTGATACTACTCTATGTCCTGATACTACCCTCTATCTCATGATACTACACCTCTCTATCTGATACTACCCGCTATGTCTGATACTACCCTTAGTCTTGATCTACCCCTCAGTCTAACTAACTACCCTCTCTATGTCTGATACTACCCCTCCTCTATGTTCCTAAACTGATACTCCACAGTCTAGGTCATAACGAGATACCCTTTATGTCCGGATACTACCCCTCTATGTCCTAATGATACTACCCCTCTATGTCCTAACTGATACTACCACCTCTAGTCATGATATACCCCTCTATGTCCTGATACTACCCCTCTATATCCGATAATACCCCTCTATTCCTGATACTACCACTTATGTGTCTGATACTACCCCTCTTGTCCTAATGATTACGACCCCTATAGTCCTAATGATACTACCCCTCTATGTCTAACTGATTACTACCCCTCTATGTCCTAACTGATACTACCCCTCATGTCCGCATACTACCCCTCTATATCCTGATACTACCCCTCGATATCCTGTACTACCCCTCTATGTCCTGATACTTACCCTCTCTGTCCTGATACTACCCTCATGTCCTAAACTGATACTACCTATATGTCTCGATACTACACCCTCTATTACTAACTGATACTACCCTCTATGTCTAACTGTACGACCCCTATGTCTGATTAATACCCCTTTAGTCCGAACGATACTTACCCTCTATTGGTCCTAACTCTGATAATACCACTCTATGTCATGATAATACCCCTCATGTCCTGATACTACCCCTCTATATCCTGATACTACCACTCTATATCCCTGATACTAACCCTCTTGTCATGATACTACCCCTCTATGTCCTAAACTGCTATACCCCTCTATGTCCTAACTGATATTACCTCTATGTCTAAACTGATACTACACCTCTAGTCTGAACTACCCCTCTATTCCTGATACTACCCTCTATATCCTGATACTACCCCTCTATGTCCGAAATGATAATAACCACTCTAGTCCTAAACTGATCTGATACTACCCCTCTATGTCCTGAATACTACCCCTCTATGTCCTGATACTACCACTCTGTCCTAACTGATAAACCCTTAGGTTCCTAACTGATTATCCCCTCCTCTATGTCATACCTTGATACTACTCTATTGTCCTAAACTGATTTACTACCCTCTATGTCCTGATACGACCCCTCTATGTCCTGATATACCCCTCTATATCCTGGAGACTACCCCTCTATATCCTGATACTACCCCTCTAGGTCCTCTAACTGATACTACACATTATGTCCTAACTGATACTACCATCTATGTCTGATACTACAACCCTCTATGTCTAACGATTACTACACCTCTATGTCCTGATTAATATCCCCTCTATGTCCTAACTGATACTACCCCTCATGTCATGATACTACCCTCTATGTCCTGATTATACCCCTCTATGCCTATACTACCCCTCTATATCCTGATAATAACCCCTATATCCTGATACTACCTCTATGTACCAATGATACTACCCCTCTAGTCCTAACTGAACGTACCCCTCTATGCTGATACTACCCCTTATGTCCTAACGATTACTAACCTTATGTACTGTACTACCACTCTATGTCCTAACTGATACTACCCTCTAGGTCCGATACTTACCCCTCTATGTCCTGATATACCCCTCTAATCCTGATGATACTACCCCTATATGTCCTAACTGATATACCCTCTTCTATATCCTAACTGATACTTACCCCTCATATCTAATGATACTACCCCTCTATGTTCCTGATATAACGCTATGTCCGATACTACCCCCTCTTGGCCTGATTACTACAGCTCATGTCTGATACTACCCTATCAGCCTGATAATACCCCTTCTATGTCCTGATACTACCCTAGAATCAGAGACTACCCCTCATATCCTAACTGATACTACCATTCTATATCCTAACTGATACTACCTCTATGTCCTGATGACTACCCCTCTATTTCTAACTGATACTACCCTAGTCATAAACTGTACTACCCTTTTTCTATTGTCCGAGCTTACTACCCCTCTTGTCCTAACTGATACGCCCATCGTATGTCCTACTGATAACCCTCTATGTCTGATACTACCCCTCTATGTCCTGATACTTGACCTTATATCCTGATTACTACCCCTATATATCGATAGACCCTCTCTGTCTAACGATAACTTACCATCTCTATGTCTAACTGATACTACCCCGCTATGTCATAAATGATACTACCCATCTATGTCCTGATACTACCCCTCTATGTCATAACTGATACTACCCCTCGATGTCCTGATACTACAGCCTCATACCTAACTGATACTACCCCTCTATATCCATGCCTGATACTACCCCGGCATGTCCTATGATCTACCCCTTCTATGTCCTGTACTTAACCTCTAATCCTAACTGATACTACCCTAATATCCTAACTGATACTACCCCTCTATGTCATGATAATCCCTCCTATGTCCTGATATACCCCCCCTCTATATCCTGATAATACCCTTGATCCTAACTGTGATACTAACCCTCTATATCCTAAACTGATACTACCCTCTATATCCTAACTGCTATACCCCTCTATGTAATGATATACACCCTCTATATCCTGATACTACCCCTCTATATCCTAACTGATACTACCTCTATGCCTGACTGATACTACCTCTATGTCTATCCTCTATTGTCATGATGACTACCCTCTATGTCCTGATTCTATCCATATATGTCCTGATACTACCCCTAATCCTAAACTGATAATACCCTCATGTCCTGATACTACCCCTATGTCCTAATGATCCTACCCCTCTATGTCCTAACTGATACTACCCCTCTATGTCCTCACTGATCATACCCATCTAGATCCTGATATACCCTCTATGTACTGATATCTAACCCCTCTATGTCCTAACGAGATACCCCCTCGTATGTCTGATTACTACCCCTCTATAATCCTAACTGATATACCCCTCTATAGTCTGATACTACCCTCTATGGTCCTGATACTACACCTCTATGTCTGCATTACTACCCCTCTATGATCCAAATGATACTAACCCCTTTATATCCTAACTGATACTACCCCTCTTATCTAATATAATACCCCTCTATATCCCTGCCTGATACTACACTCTATGTCCTAACGCTACTACCCCCTATATGTCCTGCCTGATACTACCCCTCTAGTCCTAACTGTACTACCCTCGTCCTAAACTGATACTACCCCTTATGTCCGATACTACACCTCTATGTCGATACACCCCCCTATGTCATGATTACACCATCTATGTCATGATACTACCCCTCTATGTCCTGATACTACCCATCTATGTTGATACTACCCCCATACCTTAAATGATACTACCCCTTGATGTCATAACTGATACTACCCTCTATGTCCTAATGATACTACCCCTCTATGTCCTTCCTGATACTACCCTCCTCTATGGCCTTCCTGATACTACCCCCTCTATGCTGATACTACCCTCTTATCATAACATGATACTACACCCTATATTGGTCCTGATAGACCCCTCTATGTCCTGATACTACCCCTCTATGTTCCTTAACTGAACTACACCTCTATGTCCTCCTGATACTACCCCTCTAGTCCTGATACTACCCATCTATGTCCTAATGATACTACCCCTCTATGTCCTAACTGATACCTTACCCCTCTAGTCCTAACGATACTACCCGCTATGTCCTAACTGATCCTACCCTCTATGTCCTGAATACTACCCCCGCCTGTCTGATAATACCCCTCTATGTCTGATACTACCCCTCTATGCCCTGATAATACCCCTCGATGCCCTGATACTTACACCTCTATGCCCTGATATACCCCGCTATATCCTAACTGATACTACCCCCTCTATGTCTGATACACCCTCTAGTC